CATCACGTGGATGCATTTGGAGTCCCAATGAAAAACCAGATGAAAGTCTTTAAAGATTTGGATAGAAGATCCAAATGTTGGCTGATTCTAGAAAAATCATGTGACATGAATACATTAATTCTAAGTAAATAATGTCTCATGCAAACAACAAACATCTATTTCTTTTAAAGAATGTAATTCACATATTATCACAGTTCGAAATGTCCCAAACCTATAGGAAGAAACAACACAAGTTACACAAAGTTAAAATGCAAAGCTCAAATAAAACCTTTCAAAATCAGTTGAAATGATACCTTTTGTCACGAACAGCCAAAGAATCTCTACCAGGAAACGTTTAAAGCCACAGACAATCGGCTGTAAATAAGCATCCGAGACGTGCAGATATCATCCACCTGACTTATTTGCAACCTGTTGCACGAACTTGGATAGCCTTTCAAAGTTTAGACTTTTGGCATTCGTGATTTCAATGCTTGCAGTCAACTCTTGTACATCCACACCAATGTCTTCACCTTTAAACAGTCCACCTGGCTCAATGGTGCAAATCTTGAGCGCTTTTTGGTCTTGCCATTCTCGAAAAATCTGTAATGCTCATTTGTTCTTGTAAACTGTAGATTTCAGAACAGAATTGATAACCACTCTTTTTCCTTGTCAAAAGTTTTTGGTTGTCTGAAACCTTGAACTTGACACATCGATGTCACACAAAAAACTGAATATTATGATAAACACTAAATTAAGTTGGATGATTCTCAAATGACACATTCCATTCAAACGGTTCTTATCACATTCTATAGCTATTGTTTAATAAATTAATTGCAACAACAATGATGAATAATAAAATAGTCAGCCACTCATTTAAGAAGCTATACCAAAAACTCGTGCTTTGTCGGGGTATCCAGACACCTCGAAACAATAACAGCACTCGGCCTTCAGCCTCATGTTTTTATCTGTTTCTCGGTGTCTGGATACCCCGATGAAGCCTTCACACTCGTAATTGATATATTACTTAAATTAAAGTTAATCAACAGGTGATTATAATGTTATTGTTATTATTAATTTTGATTATTATCCCTAGCCGAGGTGCAGTTACTTGTACATTGTTTAGCAATCATTCCAGTACTTCAGGATTTTCCAGTCGTTAACCTTAAAAGAAATCAGTCTTAAGGATGAGGATGTTGTTGTTAAGAAGCTTGCCCTTACTCAGGACTGGCACCAAGGGCTCGGGGCCAGGGATTTCTCCCATGGCCTGCTACTATGAGCATGATCACCGGCTACTTTTATAAGGAACAAAAGAAAAACAAAACCCACCAATCTTCCTAGCTAATTGTTTAATTCCCCACCACCTACTATAAATTGCATATACCCAGAAACTTGAAATCTTTTATAGTGCCAGCGCTGCCTTACTGTTATATTTGTATCCTCAGAAACTTTCCAACAAGGATGTTGTCTGGATTACAATATTAATATTACCCTCATTGGTTGTAACACAGTAGACACAAAAAGTGTAATACTAAGTATTAAAGAGTTACTTACAATGAAAATTGGGTATAAACTTTATTTCATGTCGGAAAAACTAAGAAAAATGCAACTTATTTATCCAATTTTTTTTTTCTCATATCATCCTCTTCTAGACTTTGCCACTCAGAGATCAGTCTTTTATTTATACAAAGTATTACTCTTATGTGGCACATCCTGGGCAAATAGGAAGGCGTACCCCCGTCTTTTGTTTTTTTTAATAACCTTTAGAAAATCAATTTCTGCAAAGATTAGGATGTTCGCGTGACAAGCACGGGAAAGGTTGCGTGACAACCAGTGGCACCCTACTGCTGATTTCGTTCTTTCTGTGAAGTCTTCTGTGTTCTTTTTCTCCTTTTATTCTTAACCCTTCAAGTTTCGTAAGTACGCTGCGTACTCCTTTGGAAGAAGATCCTCTCCTTCAAGTATTTCATTGAGATAAATTTCGCTCGGCTTCAACCCACCTTTAACACATTCCTTATTCGCTTTGTACGCAATCGCATCGACAACTTCCCCGTTTCTCTTTTCCACTTTAACGATCACTCGGTGAAAACGATTGCCTTCATGAATGTGCTCGTGATCCATTTCACACATGCTTCCCTTCTCGCAGATGTATAAAGCGCCATGAACCGCGGAACCTTCGTCTGGGGTGATATTAGCGTAACCAAAACCATCATCTTTCCAGTTGGTGTTGAAGACGAAGCGATATCCGCGAAGCACTGCGCTCTCGCGAGAAGTAAATTTTGCTCCGCGTTCTTTCATTTTTCTTTCACTTAAATTTGATGCAAAAGCAAAATACAGCTCCTTCCCTTCCATATTGTCCTAGGATCTCCAAAAGCATTCTC